CCTTATTACTGCCTTCATTGTATCCCAAATATTCTGCTTCGTAGTTGCCTCATTATTTTTTTTTAAAGTAATCTAATTCCTCCTTGAGCCTATTCATAAATTCTTTTTCTTTAATTAGCTGTGTATTTAGTGTCCACCTTTTCCTTGGCTTTTTCCTACTTTCCACAATATCAGAATCGGATTATGATCTGCCCATTCATTAGGTAAAATTTCAATCTCTTTTAACCCATTTGCTATTTCACCATTCATCCACACCATATCAATTCGTGTCCATGATTGGTGTGGATTTGAGTAAAATGTAAATTGTTTTTTCTCCCGGTAATTTTCTCCACATATTCACAAATTCCACAAATTCACTTCAGTCATCATTTCCTCACATGTTTTCGGTAACTCTGTCTTTTTCCTCTTCTTCCCCCACTACTGTGATCCTTCTGATAGTTCACAATGGCACTGAAGTCCCCTAAGATACAAATATTCCTTTTTTCTAATCCTACTATTTTTTCATGCAAATGTTTAAAAAATTCTTTTTGGTTTTCATGAGGGGCGTAAATTACGACTAATAGAATTGGGGTTGAATTAATCCAGATTTGTAAAACCAGAATTTTTCCTTTGGGATCTGTCCAAATTAGGTCTGCTTTCATATCCTCTTTCACATATACTGCTATCCCTTTCTTTTTCCCAGAGTCTGCTGGTGTTCTGCTGGTAGTTTCCCTAGCTTCAGGCATTCTAAATATTTTTCATCTGACTTCCTTATATGGGTTTCTTGTAAACGTACTATATCTGCATTTTGTTTAATTAGTTTAGTTAATATTCTTTTCCTTATTATCATGGAATTCAGGCCGTTTATATTAATTGATAATATTTTCTTTTCCTCATCCATTGTCTAGTTGATTCTTGCTCTTTGTCTTGTAGTTACTCCTCTTTCTCTTTGTGACTGGTAGCATGTCCTTGGTTCTTCTCTCTCTTGTTGATGTGTATTTTTCAGATTTCTGGGACTCCTGTCTCTATTCTTTTGGTAATCTTGGTCGTCTTGAGAGTTTGATTCTAGTTCATCTTTACTACTCAGTTTTTCTGGGCCTACCGGTTGTTCATAAAATTCTTGGGCTTTTTCCACAGAATCTACTCTAATTTTCTTGTCTTCCCATGAAATTAGCATCCCTTCTGGGATATCCATCTAAATACAATACCTTTTTGATTTAATTGGGCCACCAAAAATTTATAGTCTCGCCTTTGCTCTCTCACTCTTCTTGGGATTTGTTTAAGCACCAAGACTTCTTTATCTTTATATGTGATTGTTTCTTCTCTGGATATTTTGTATATAATATCCCGGACCTTTCTTCTAGCAAATCTTACGTGAACTTCTTTTGGAATGGAGAAGAATTGAAAAACAGCATAAGTGGAAATTCTAAGACACAGAAATATTTTGCTGCAGGTGGTCCCGCTTGCTCTGTATATATTAGTTTTCCTTTAGCATAACCACATTTATGTAGAAAACAAGATCCTTTCTAAAATGTCGGTAGATGTGCTTTCCCTGGGGGTAAACATCTCTATGGAGACAACTGCCTTAGATGAGTTTGCCACAGACATTACTGCCTAGATAGCAAAACTGAAATAAACAGCTGCAAGTTCCCTCACACATAATGAGAACAGTCTTTAATTGGGTTCTCTGCTTTCAGGATCTGCTAATAAGGTAGAAGCCACTGAAGTCACAGGAACTGAAGAGAGAATGTGGCTATTAACTGAATAAGGCCATGCCAAATTGATACAATTCAAGATCCCTTTGTTAAAACATTCAAAAAATAACCTATAAAGGAGACAAATGGCTTATATTTTCTCTACCACCATAATCTTAGATTCCTAACATCACAGAGAAATCAGATTCCAGTCCACCAAAAAATAATGAAAAGCAAAGCATCCTATGCAAAACAATTTCCCTTGGAAATGACAAAATCTCAGAGTTATAAAACAACATTTATTGTTTGGAATTACTTTCTATATCTAATGAGCCCCTATGTTCAACACAATTACCAATTCGGAAGTTTTTTGGCATTTTATAGTATGATGTGAAGCCTGGTTCTGTCAGATACCTATGACAATATACACTGACACTTTTCTTCTCCACCCCCACCCCCCAATATTTTCCTTTAAATAATCTTTAGTGAAAAATAACCAGCAATAAGCATGCTACTAAGCATCATCACAAACTGCATTCTTGGAAAGTCAAATGATTGTGCCCCTAATTTATCAAACCATTCATGTATGGTTTTCTGGATTTTAGAGGCATTATGTAGTGCTTGGTAACTTCAACCAATTTGGATGTATGAAACAAACTAATTTAGAACAATCTGTAACCCTAATTTTAAAAATTTGAAAATATGACATTTTTTTAAATTCAGTGTGACTTCTTTTAGTGGACATATTTAGGATTTACAGATTTGCTATCAAAGCCCCCCCCCCACGCAGAAAAACTTAATACAAAATGGGAGACTATGCCATTTTAACATTAATATTTTAAAAGACTGAATGACTGCCACATTATACTTGCAGCAAACAGGAGCTGATGATTCTTTATTTCTGTTGCACAATGGAGATAGATTCCTTGCTTCAGTTAATCTAAATTGCTTGTCAATATAGCAGTTAAGAATAGTCCAGTAGGTTATTACGTGGATTTGAATGAATATTAAAAACAATGTAGTGTCTAATGTAAAGATCCATCTTCAAGTTTTACCCATCTAAGATCTCCCACAATGACTCTGTACTAGTCTATGGCTGGATTTGCAAAACACGGTTGCTTAAAATGTAGTAAATTAGTTGTATAGCCTAATCCTGTGATGGCAAATCTATGGCATGCATGCCACAAGTGGCATACGGAGCCATTTGTGCCAACATGCGAACCACAGGCAAACTTACCTCACTGCGCATGCGCACGCCTCACATCTGATTTTTCAGCTGGTTTGAGGCCTTTTTCCGCCTCCCAGAGGCTTGGAAAAAGCCTCTGCAAGGCTTTTTAGGCCGAATAGGCCCGTTTTGTCACTTCCTGTAATACCGGAAGTGACAAAATGGGCAAATTATTTGGCCTGAGAAGCCTTGCAGAGGCTTTTTCCAAGCCTCTGGGAGGCCAAAAAAGGCCTCAAACCAGTTGAAAAATCAGCTGTGAGGCGCAGTGCAGGTAAGGGGGTGGTGGTGAGTGGCATGGGGGGATTGCGTGTGCATGTGCAGGGGTGTGGGGGGCACACATTGCATTCTGGGTGCTGGCATGCGAGTGCGTGCGCGCTAACGTGTGTGCAATTTTTGGCACAGGAACCCAAAAAGTTAGCCACTACTGGCCTAGTCATACAATATCGTTAACATAATTACCAAAGTAACCAATTTTCTGGGTTTGGACTTTATATCAATCCATATCAAACTAACTAAAGGCAAAACAAACCAAGCTTACCCTTGGTGCACATTGTTTTATCTTTCTCAATGATCTTTGTATTGTTTGAAGTAGGGTGGTGCTGCACTTTCTACCTGAAGAGAAAAAAGTGCTTCACACACAGGCCTGTCTGCCCCTCCTTGAGATGCCTTTTCCCAGGTTTGTGTACCCCCCTCCCCCAATTGTTAAGTTATCTAGACTGGTGTTCGAGACCTTACTGGTGTGTGTGAGATCTGTGGGAATGGCAGGTGCACAGGGATGGCAAAGGATACTCGACAAAAAAATCCTAAACAGATCTATACTCAGCTAAATAAAAGCAGTTTCCTTAAACACGGAGTCCATTTTTAGAGATCATTTTCATTATATATCAAATCTTCACTAAACAGGAGCCATAATAATTTTTAATAATCATTTTGAGAACCATCTTTTAAAAAATTATTTATTTAAAAATATTGCCATTTGAAAAAAATAATATAGTAACATTCGCTCGAGATATTTTTTGCGTGAATTTTGTTTTGAAAGGCTTGGAAATAGTGGTTTTTTCCTTAGCTTTTGAATTTAAAAACAAACACCAAAGAGACCGAATTTTTCCTTTCGTCTCTTTCAACAGTTTCCAAGGCCCAGCCGCTAATTGGGATAGATCATCTCCAGTAGAAGAACTCGCGCGGCTTCTTTTCAATAAAGGTTGTGAACCGTACCCGCGACGGTTCGGAGTGGGAAGTGTTTTTAAACAGCAAGCTCCAGTTTTTCCTGCCTCGACTTTCTGAAACGCCCGTGCTGTTATTGGAGCGGGTAACTTTGGAAAGACTCGTCAAAGAAGAGGGAAAGCTGAGCCACTCGACCCCACAGCTCTCCCCTCCACCTCCACCCCGATCTCGGCGGCTTTGGAGGCTGCAAAACTGCTCAGCTTTCTATAATAGCCAGCAGAGGGAAGCCGGGGTTTTCTTTGCAGCAGGAGCGCGCTTGGTTCTTTCGGTAGGCAATACTGCAGGCTTCTGGACTGCGTCTGCTTCTCGAGGGAGAGGCTGCCTATTATAGTTCCACCCACCGACTGGAAGGAGCGGGTTTGAATAAAAGAGAAGAAAAGCCCCAATACCTCGGGTCCCTCCGTGAGGGTGACCGCAGAAACTAGGCTGAGGCGAGCGAGGACGCGCTCCCTGCCATCATTCCTCCCTCCTTTTCTTGTCTTTTTTTTTTTTTTTAAGAGCTCTTCCTTCCCACTCCCTCCTTTTCTCTTTTTAGTAAGCGGGTGGAGGGATCGTGAGAAACCGCGAGGAAGCCGATCCGAGGAGATCCGGACTTCGTCTTGCTGTTTTTTCCGAAAGGACTGGTACCCCCTCCCGGTTCACACCCCATTTCCAGACCCTGGCAATTGACATTACTTAAGAACAGCAGCAGGAGGGGGGTCCCGCTCTAACGGGGGGAGGGCGGAGAAAAGCAAAGCAAAGCAAGACCCGTTTTCGATGGACTTTTCGATGTTTTGATTTTTTTAAAAAAAATAATCTTATTTTTAATTTTTGCGGCGGTTGACGCGGCTGATGCTAGTGAGCGTTTAGAAGGCAAAGAAGTCCGAGGGAGGAAAAAAGAAGCCACCTTGGTTAGGACTGTCAGAAATAGTGGCTTTAACCGAAGAAAGGCCTGGGGCACGACTCCCTGTCAACGAGTTCCCTGCATCCGAGATAAAGATTCTAGCTACATGGGCAAACGCTTGGAACAGCAGCAAATGTTCCCACAGTACACATACTACTATTCCCATTATCTCCAAACCAAGGTATGTGGCGAGCTTCCTGGGGTTGTCCAGCGTGCCAATTCCAGATATAGTTGACTAGTGGAAATTGCAGGCGTTCTGGTGCTGTCTGTCTCTCTCTCTCTCTTTCTGCCTTTGAGTTCCTGCCTCTTAGTAAGGAAGTAGTAAGTAGTACTAACAGCCAAACAAACCAGCCCAGAAAGAAAGAAGGGAAAAGAAGGTTGGAATTGTTTTCTAGGAAAGTGTGCTTCAAAAACGGAAGGTATGATCTCTTTGATCAAGTTGTTTGCTTATTGGGAGAAACTTCCATGTGCCGGAGGTGCATATCCATGTGCCCCTTCTTGAATAAGATTGGAAATGGCACTACCCAGTTGGCAAACTGCTCCCAGAACAATCATTCTTGGCACCGGCTCAATAAAAAAAAACCTGGTTGGCTGTGGAGATTTGGAATTGATGGGGGAATGACACAAGAGGGAAAGAAACAAGAAAAGTCATGATAAAGAAGGCATGATGGATCCTCCCTGATTTTGTCTGACACATATGTAGGAGCCAGCAGGGTCATAGGAAGGCAAAGAGGTGACCCAATCTAATCTTTGGGAAATGCAATGGGGGACACATGCCAAGGTGCATGTTTCATTAAATATTGATTATGGGTAATCATATACTATTACATTTGAAAACTCTGGAAAAGCCTGGTACTTTTTGTTGGAGTGAGCAAGCAAATTGCAACCACATTTTTTGTCTTATGGTGTGTGCATGCTGTAATGAAGTGGCAAATTGGGCCTTAATCTGCCAGAAAGACTCAGAATAAACGCATAATAAATCAGCTGAAATGTGCACTGGAAATATTTTTCAAATGCACATTGCACAGCTTGGATAACCTGGATTTCCTGACAAACTTTTCAAAATAAAGCTCCATCATTTTATTCTACCTACAAATCATTTACCGTTACAATTTTTAAAACAAATATTCAAAGTTGGATTTTAGAAAAGTGGCCTACAATGTCAACTCTTTATTGTTATTTTATTTTATTTTTTTCCAAAAGGAAAACAATCTTTTTTAGCTTTTGGTGCCACATCTGAAAGCCATGAAGTGAGATGTTTGGTAGGCAGGGGAGTAGAATTGAATGAATGATTATTTTTTTTACCTCTGGGTGTGATAATTAAGTTCAGTTTGTCACTTCAGAAATGACTTTTTCTTGCTTACCTACTCTTAAGTCAAATGAACTGCTTGTGAAAAGCACCAATAATGCATATGTTTAACACTCAAGATGACCAAGCTTCTCTACAGTGATTTCTTCCTTTTTTAAAAAAAAAATTATAACCTGGATATCACTAATATATTCTATGAACAGTGGTGTGCCAGTTATATTAAACATTTTGGGCATTTTTGAATAGTTGTTTTCATAATTAGAGGTTGTTTTTTCTTCTCAAGGTCGATTGAAATAACATTTTGCCTCTGCAGCCATTCATTATATATATTTCTGCTGCTTCTCTTTTAGCAGCAGCAACAAACTGCTTTATTATCTATAGCTTGACCTCCTTGGGAGAATGAAAATGAGACACATGGAATTCCTAAAAACTGGCCCATCAAGACCATGAAACAATTTAGGAAGATTTGTTTTTCCTCTAAAGAACAACAGCTTCAAGTTCAGGATGAGGCGCCATTGGATGTTGCATTCCTTTGACTCATGTAGTGTAGTTTAAACAATGCCAGTCTTACTTACTGCCTTGAAGCTTCTGATTTTGACTTTGCAAAACACACTTTTGAGAAAACCTATTATTGTGATGAACTTATTATTGTCATGAACCTTTTGCATAAGGGTAATGCATACAATGGTAGAATTAAGATATGCAAAATTGCAGTTGAAGAAAGAAATGGCTAGGAAAATACATTCTTTTTCTTGTAGATGCCCATTATCACAAGCAGGGCCTTTCCAAAGCCTAGATAATATTGTATATTAAATATTATCTTTAGTGACAATAATTTTATTTTTTACTGAAATTGAATTGATGTATTAGCTACAAATGTATACATTGTTAGAATTGTCTAATATAGTTCAATATTGGAACTATAAAGCAAAAAATCTGTAATTATCAGGTTATTCCTCTATATTTAACAACTTTTTTCTTTCTTACATGATCATAGACATCAAACAAAGATTATGAAATAAACTTAACACTTGTGTGTGTGTGAATGTGTCTGTGCACGCACATTCGCCACTATTAAGCCCATTTAAAGTGGTATAAAAAAGCAGCACTTTTTAAAGTTATGACTTTCTAGAAGTGATTTACTTTTACAGAATCTTTTAATCATTTATTGGGATAATGATCTGGTTATCAAATAACTATAAAAGCATTAATTTGAGTTCCAAATATAATGTATGTGTTACATAGTTTTAAAAGAATAATGTCAGGGACATAACTTGAATGTAATATAAACGGAATGTGCATCAATATGAACTCCTGTTTGAAAATCAATAACCTTAGTGGCAGGGGAGTTAATAGAAATTATATAGATTTATTACAAAGGTTAAAGTGCAACAGATGAATCATAATTCAATTTGTTTCATTGTTTTATTAAATTTATTCTTTACTTTAGTTTTTCTTTTCTTCCAAACAGCTTTCATGAATCTTTTTTTCTGTTGTTTTAAAGTGTGCCATTATGGGGTATGGCTTTAGGATTTATTACAAAATAAACTTCTGACTCTTAATTATAGCCAATCCATCATACAATGTCAAGCAAAATATGAAGATCTTATTCATTATTATATGATGAATTGTGTGTAGCACAACTAATATCTCATATAAAAATTAAATGAATGTGATTGAATTTTGTTTTAGATATTAAAATACAATGTTAGTTTTGGATTGACTCAGCCTAAACACATTCAGAAATTACATTTGTAAAGTTTGAAATCTTTGAAATGCTAATGAAAATATAAGTGTTATGTGAAACTGTCAGACTATAATAAAGTGAGTTTGAAATTTTATTAACACTATTGCTAGATTTTTAGTATTGCAAATAGTTATTCCAAACATGAAGTGACTTTCATAAAACACATTTTGTGACTATTATAAAATACATTACAGTACATGATTAGATTACAAAATCATATTTTAAAAAAAACTTCAAATGGTCTCAGTGCAAAAGAAGTATCGATTACTGCATGCTTTATTTATACTTATGGTAAAAGTATAAAATTTAAAATTAGTTTATGGATTGTTAATTCAAAATATATTCTGTAGTTGGGTTGCTAAACTCTAGAAATAAAATAATTTCTGCTAATCATAAAAGAAATTCTTGGAACTTCTTTATTAGCTAACAAAAGAACTTAACTTTTTATATATAGGGAATGATTGCGTTTGAGTTGTTATTGAAGCTAAGTTAGTTTTGCAAATGGAAGATTGTTGTTTTTTTACCAATGAACCAAATCAGAGGTGATGCTTTACATTATATTTATTTATGAATAGAAAGGAAATTTGATTCACTGTGTTCAGGAAAGAGAACAGTATTGAAAATTAACTTTTTTTCCATTATATGTGTAGCTAGTTGAGTTGAGGTTTTTGGACTGGTATAATTTGAATGTTATAATAAATAATGATTTTATTCTGATTGGCCAAATGAAACTTTACGAAGAAAGTCCATAAAAGAAAATACCAAATCAGATGTTTAATATATTGGAAAAATTAAGATACTTAATCTGTCCAATAGCATAAGAATAATATATTATGCACATTCAGCAGAAAAGTTTACAAAATATGTTTGAAATGTGTTTGAAATAAAAAAAGTAATAAGTTGATACAGAGAATTGCAACCACACTTTAACATTATTTTTACTATTTATTATTGTTATTATTGTTGTTATTTTCATTTGTTTATCCCATTTTTTTTAGAATAAGCATTTTAATCTGTGAGGGGTCCTTAGTGCTCTCAGAGTTTGGTTGTTTTGTTGCAGGTGTTTCATTACCTAAACTGGTAATATCATCAGTGCTGTTACTTAGTTTGGGTAATGAAATGTCTGCAAGAAAACAACCATGCTCAGAGAGCACCAAGGACTCCCCATTTCAATGCTGAGTTACAAATATTCTCCCTTATTGGCATTTTAATCAAATTTGCTTATTCCCACATAGAGGTGATTTTTGTATGGCAAAAATTGGAGTAAGATTTATATAGTGATAGTTTTGAAATACTGTATCATTTTGTTTACAGGCTTACGTTTTAAGGTATTAGCCTTTTGACATACTTTAGTTAAATCCATTTTTACATGCACGTAATACACTTGTCCTTGTGTGAAATGTAAGAAACTTTTCCTGTGTTACTCTTAAAAAACATCTTCCCCCCTCCAATTGTTTGTTTGCTTTTCGGCCATTCATTCTATTCAAATATTCCTTTCTCAGTTTACTACATTTTTGCCGCTTTTGGCCATCAGTCTTTTCAGAATGTCTTGAGGAAGAGTTCCAGATAGCAAGATGCTTCAGAAAGCCTTTCTGGCTAGTTATGTTCACTTTGTGTTTTGTGCCTGGTGTGAAGCAAGGGTCAGGGTATAAGGACTATTTCATCAACCGCACACTGTTTTCAGGCTGCACTTCCAACCATCTGTAGCTTGGATTGTTGCCAATGTAATGCTAGAGCTTACAGTACAGAAGTGAAGACAAATAAGTGAAGGCAAATAGAGAAAAAGAAGTACATTTATAAGAATGAAGTTGATATTTATTTAGATGCTTGTTAGCACTGATAAATTATAATATCTCTCCGCCCCAACCATATCTTACGAGGCTCCCAGAATCAGGTGTTTTATACAAGGATAACAATGGATTGACCTTTGATTGTAATCAAGAATTTGGAGTAATATCTACCCTGGGCACCATGCCAATTACTTTGCTATTAGACTAGGAAAGCTTGAGTTTTTTTTCATTTAAAATCTGAGCAACACGTTATTATCTAATTTGCTTTTTAAAATTATGTTGCTATTAAGGTCACAAAATATTTAAATAAACTTGACCATGTTGATGCTGTTGAC